TTATTATGCTGTACAAGGTGGTTCTAACTTTTGAGTCTGTGCATGAAATCCTATGATGTTACCATTCAAATGAAAGCTACTGAGCAGTACTTTCCTGTGGTTCTGTTTATTATGCTGTACAACGTGGTTCTAACTTTTGAGTCTGTGGATGAAATCCTGTGATGTTACCATTCAAATGAAAGCTACTGAGCAGTACTTTCCTGTGGTACTGTTTATTATGCTGTGCAAGGTGGTTCTAACTTTTGAGTCTGTGGATGAAATCCTATGATGTTACCATTCAAATGAAAGCTACTGAGCAGTACTTTCCTGTGGTACTGTTTATCATGCTGTACAAGGTGGTTCTAACTTTTGAGTCTGTGCATGAAATCCTATGATGTTACCATCCAAATGAAAGTTACTGAGCAGTACTTTCCTGTGGTACTGTTTATTATGCTGTACAACGTGGTTCTAACTTTTGACTCTGTGGATGAAATCCTATGATGTTACCATTCAAATGAAAGCTACTGAGCAGTACTTTCCTGTGGTACTGTTTATTATGCTGTACAACGCGGTTCTAACTTTTGAGTCTGTGGATGAAATCCTACGATGTTACCATTCAAATGAAAGCTACTGAGCAGTACTTTCCTGTGGTACTGTTTATCATGCTGTACAAGGTGGTTCTAACTTTTAAGTCTGTGCATGAAATCCTATGATGTTACCATCCAAATGAAAGTTACTGAGCAGTACTTTCCTGTGGTACTGTTTATTATGCTGTACAACGTGGTTCTAACTTTTAACTCTGTGGATGAAATCCTATGATGTTACCATTCAAATGAAAGCTACTGAGCAGTACTTTCCTGTGGTACTGTTTATTATGCTGTACAAGGTGGTTCTAACTTTTGAGTCTGTACATGAAATCCTATGGTGTAACCATTCAAATGAAAGCTACTGAGCAGTTCTTTCCTGTGGTGCTGTTTATTTTGCTGTACAAGGTGGTTCTAACGTTTGAGTTCGTGGATGAAATCCTATGGTGTGACCATTCAAATGAAAGCTACTTAGTAGTATGGTTCCAACTTTTGAGTCTGTGGATGAAATTCTATGGTGTTACCATTCAAATGAAAGCTACTAAGCAGTTCTTTTCTCTGGGTTTTAAATAGTGGTGTGCCAATCAACCATTATAATCGATCATTGATCGAAAATCGACGCGACAATCGATTATGGATGATGACAATCGATTATTGCGGACAAATGAAAAAAATGTTGATGACAAATAAAAACATAAAAAAAATTGTGTGTTGTATGCACATTTTAATGCACATTTTGATGGTTCTCTTAGAAATTTTTTTTTCGAAATTAGTAGCTGGCCGTAAAGAACATATTTAGATCTACTTACTGCGATCAGAAAGGTTACAAGAGTAGATAAAAGCAAAACAGATATAAACAGCTTGCAAAGATCGAAGTGAGATTCGGGATTGCAATTGTGATCGAGATACGGTTTTAGGATGTGGAAATCGGGGAATGTCTTTTTAAGGTTTCACAGTTTGTCCACAGTTGGTTTGACCCTGTCACATGACCTTTTTGGCCGTAACAAGTACTTATCCAAATATTTGAGGGAGTCTTGATCCTCTGTGAGGCACTTTCGGTACCGAAATAAGCTGATATTCGTCGTCGGGATTACGGGTCGAGACGGGGATCAGGGGAAATATCAGTGGCAAGTGCATAAATAAAACAATCACAACAGAACAGGACGCAAAAGTGCACAAATATTTTGCTTTTGTTTGATTTTCTTCAAATTGAAAAAAGTTTCCTTAGCATAAAACGCATCATAACGCAATGTCAAAATGCGAACTTGTTTGAACTAGTAAGCATACATGGCTTGTGACAGCCAAGAGTTCATAGCGACGTTGCTTTTTGATCCTTTGATGTCGGTTCTTCCCATCATTACCAATGAGCTTGTCACGAGTCTCACGGTTTGACGATTTATCTCGCGCTCTAACAAGTTAACTACTAATTTCTCTTGCTTTCAAGAAAGTGGATTAGGAATCTGTTTGAAAGAAAGGCTACATCCGAATTTACATATACACTGTATTGCGCATATTCAGGGTATACAATAAAGTAGTGAATACTTCGCCTACTTTATCAGCTTTATTCCCATTTACGTGTCCTCAGTGATGTAAATAGTTACTTAATCCTACTTAGCAACTTTCATTTGTCTAGATAAGGTAACAGAGGTTTTGACACTAAAAAAGTGATTTAAAAGTTCATTTGATCATTTTACCTTCTTTGGTTTTGGTTTTGTTTTGTTTCAGTTTGCTAGTGGTTTTTTTTCCATTATGCTACCAATTAAAAATTTGCATCTTTCTTTAATCTTAAATTGCAGCACTTTTAGT